CTTTGACAAGGAATGTGTCCCAGGCTAAAGTGTTAGTTATCAGTACACAAAGCTTTAAAGTCCTGCTATTCCCAGGAAACATTCTTTTTTTTAATAGAAAAAAGGAGCATAATGGGTCTTTAAAAAAAAGATGTAGAGCCAGCTGTTGAATAAGACAATCCAAGCAAAAAAAAAAAAAAAAGACTCTTTGCTCTGGTGCCCTTTTCCTCTGCTTCTTCAGAGATTGAACTTGAAGAAAATCGCTTAATACCAAATAAACTTTGGGATATACAGTTCTGTACTTTATTTTATAAGAACCTGAGTCTATATATCCCTCTTTTGAATTCTAGTCTCTAGTTGTGAAAAAAAATACTAGCCTTACTTCATCAGTAAGGATACAGCAAATCTCCAGGAGAAATCTGATTCATTTAAAAAAATTGTTCCCAAAACCAAATCCTGGATGGTGGATCTCTTACTTACCCACATATACCTACTTTTGCAATTATAAAGATTGAAGTAATTGAAATATTACTTTCAATATATATAAAAAAGATGAACTCACAGTCCAACTTAGCTAACTCAGATTGCTCAGTATAAATTATATGCAAAACATCTCTTCCAAAAACTTATTGCATGATCAAAGAAATCCTAACCTGGAAATTAGACATCATCTAACCCTGTTGTTCAATAGTAGTGCATGGATTCTTTCTATGCCAACTTTATAGATTTGAAGGCAACTATCAGTCTAGTTCTTTGAGAGAGGTTATGATGAAAACTGCCAGCTTTTTCTATCAATTAACACCTTCTTCACGTAATAATGCTACTTAAAAACACCACAATTCTCTGTTTCACAAGTGGGATTGTGGGTGGGTTGACAAAGTCTGCACATTGCATTGTTCTGCCAGACTGAAATAAAAACTAAGGCTATAATTTTTACAAGGGTTTAAGCTTGCTTGCACCTGAATCATTAATAGCATTTCAGACAAAGGCCTACACATCTCTTGGCATTCATGTCCAATCTCTTGAAAACTACAGCCCTCTAATCTTAGGCTACAGGCAAAGCTATGCAAATTAAAGGTAAATTAACTTAAATTAAATGGAAATTAATTGTGTCTGCTGCAATTTAAGTCCAAAGTCTTAAGTTATTTCCTTTACTGTGCATAGTGTTACAGTATGTGTACAAAGATGTCTCTGCATTACTGTAGACTCAGTACAATTCAGATTCCTAAAATCTATACTTGGATTCCAGGTTCAGTTACAGTTTTCTTTTTCAATTACAGGCAGGGTGTATTTTTGTTAAAGCCCATCTATGGTTATAACAATTAAAATATAGACTCAAAAAATTTTGGAGTCTCTGTGCCTTAGAAATCTGTACTTTTCCATGAAATAACCAAACAAAATCTGCCATTGATATACTGACAACCTATTTATTTATTTATATATCCATTTATTATTATTTTTAAATAACTCAAGGAGGTGAACATATCCAACATATCTTCTTCCTATTTTCCCCACAACTACCCATCTGTGAGATGGGTTAGTCTGACACAGAGTGACTAATCCAAAGTTTCCCACTAGCTTTCATGGCTAAGTCAAGACTTGAACTCACAGTCTTCCACTTTCTAACCTGGTATCTTAACCTCTAGACCAAATTGGTCTTATATTCCAAAATCTATATAAGTTCAGCCTATATAGCAAGTGGATACAACTACATTTCATGTCACTTCTATCTTGATCTCATATACTGTATCACCACCCTTTCAATATCCCTAAATATACAGCAACAGCAATAGCACTTAGACTTATATACCGGCTCCATAGTGTTTTACAGCACTATATACTGTATGTTCTAAATTTCTGTATTATCACACCAAAGGGCAAAGCTATATATCTTCTGTTAATTTAGCAAATCTAGACACTCTTGCTGGTATTCTTGCTGGTACTCACCTAGTCTATTAATCCTGGAAGGTAGGATTGATGATCTCTTTAATTGCAGAATATTCAAACTGGCAGCAACAGAGAAAAGTACACATTTTATTACATATTGAAGTTTCCAGGAAAGTGACTAAATTTTGCAATACAGTCAAAACCACTGGATTGAACTGGGATTTACCTACTGTAAAATTAAAATTTATTGTCTTCTTCAGTTAATGTACTTAACCAGTATTCCCCTCCCTCCAAGCAAGTTATATTAATGGGTGTTTTTATTTTGTTCCATATTCTTACCTGGACATTTTGTCCCCATATATTATTTTAAGCTCTTGGATTTTGGCTGAAATATCTATCTATCTATCTATCTATCTATCTATCTATCTATCTATCTATCTATCTATCTATCTATCTATCTATCTATCTCTCCTTCCACATAGAAACCATTTTGACAATTATTCTGTGAGAGATACCAACATAGCAACTGTTCAGTTACTCCTTGAGCTGTAATAATAGCAGTCCAAATAGCTGTTACAGCTCCATAAATCATTAAGAATTGTTGCCAAAGTTATTTTCTTTTCCTTTTGCTTTCCAGCCTGTTTTTCTATTGTATCTATAAAGGGTGTCAAGTCTTTTATTATGTGATAAGCTGCTGTGGAACCTTTCATGAAGAACTGGAGGTGTAAATACTTTAACTAATGCCTTTTAGAACAATGGGGTATAATAATTACCGTAATAATAGCAGAACAGTGGGACATTAAAATCATTTTGACAATGAAGAGAATTTAAGTCCATTTGTATCTTCTTACTTATGAAACACTCTTTTCTACACAAGTTGTTGTTTGCTCCACTGGAAACAATATAGCACTGAATGTTTACTGTACTACTCTTTGATCAGGAACCATATCTTTGTCTAATAGAATCATACACAGTTGTATTATGGAACAGACTTCTTTAATATTCAGCACTAATAGGATTCACTAGAGCAGGGGTGTCAAACTCAATTTCATTGAGGGCTGCATCAGCATTGTGGTTGCCCTCAGGGCCGGGTGGGTGTGGCCAGGATGGGTGCGGCCTACTGGGTGGGCATGGATGGAGTGGGTGTGGCCTACTGGGTGGGTGTGGCTAGCTCTACATCGTTCGCATCAAGGGTGCCTGTGGGGGCTGGACAGGAGTGAGATAGATCTGAGGGTCTCTGTTAGAAGGGGGTGGGACCAGGGCAGGTTTCAAGGCATGGTCCACTGGAAGAGCCTCACTGTTCCTCTCAGGCCATGCGGGGGGCATATGGAGCTAAGACTGAATACGTTTCAGCATAGATGGCCACCACAAAATTGTACATTGGCTTCCGGCTGGCCTGGGCCAGGGCCAAGGCAAAGGGGGCTGTTCCCTCACTGTTTCCAGGATGGCTTCGTGGGCCACATGAAACCACTTCGCAGGCCGCATCTGGCCCCCGGGCCTTGTGTTTGACATGTCTGTATTAGAGATATAATAAATCCATGAATTCTACAACTAAATTAAAAAAGAACTAGATCATGTGGTACAATTGCTTGAAATAAAAGGATCAAATAATAAATTGTGGGTTATATTATAAATTCTTCAAAGTTTCACCTCCTCCATATAGCATATGTTATGTAACATTCTTTGCTTTTTCTATTTTCCAGAAACCATTCCTGTGAAACACTTATGGCAAAGTTAAGAAATCCAATAAACAAGGCATGTGTTACAGAAGTCTTATACCATTTAGTGTTTATGTAATCTCAAAGGATTGCAAAATATAGGATTTGTTATGAATACAGAGCAGGGAATTCAGTTACATGGATCAATGGAACTAAGATGATAGACCTCATAATCAGCAAACTTTAGAATTCTGAATAAATAAAGAAAATATCTTGGATATGTTGAAAATAAAGATAAATAAATGTAATATGAAATTGATGATATAATTAGATTGTCAACTCTTCAGATATAACATAGTAAAACCTTTAGGGGAGCTCAAATATAATATTCATATAAAATGTAGATTCATTTCATAAATTTGTTGAAATTGGCTTTGGAACTTCCTCTACAAGCAATTATATTGGCATCAAATAGGATTCTTGATCTACAGTGTTTGCTAAATAAATAAAAATCTAAGTGATTTTGGTTTCTTCCTCTTTTTTGGAAATGTACTATCTTAATTTCTGAGGATGTCTATTTCCTGTGCTTAAGGTCTATTTTTCCCCTCTCAGCAACCCATACAATTTTCTTTGTTTGACATGTGTTTCTGGATGGACAATATTAGTTAGGATTCTGAAAGGGGTGTTTGGGACAAAGAGTCCTCAAAGTAGAGTGAATTTTCACCTACAAGTAGATTCCTCTTCATAATAAAGTCGTTCACTTATATCTTTCTTACATCTTTAGCATCACACCATATTTGACTTTTGGTTCTTCTACACTGCAGCCTTTAACTATTTACGGCATTTCCTCTGTTTAAACCAGCTAGAAATAAGGCTAGTTAAAGACATCCCACTATGAATTTCAAAGCCTTCCTTAGCTTTGATCATAGCAATTTCTTAATGTTCAGTCCAGAATCAGAGCCCCTGATTGGCAGTTTCCTTGGCATGTCACCTTGGCTGGAAGGGTGTATCTTTGCATTATTCTATCAATCAATATATAAAGAAATCTGTGGTTTCACTTGCATTGACACTTGTTAGAAAAAAATCAACGTTTCACTGGAGAACTCGTAAAAACAAAAATGACAGTGGAGAGCAACGTCCAGTCACTGGAGGAAAGAGTCAATTCTTCCTGCCAATTTCTCAGTTAACCTTGTTAACAGAATTATTAGCTCAAGCTTTCAATATCTTTTATGTGTTTCAGAGACTGTTTCTATTTCAGTTCACTCAAATTATGTGTTCTTGGGATTTATGCAAACTTTTAGGGTCATGCAAATAATTAAACTTCTACACATTTTATAGAAAGAATCTCACATCAGAGCTCCAAGTGCTGTGTTTCAAGTAAGAGATTGGTAATACCATTTATATTTAAATTATCTTTCCAGAGAGTTGCTGTGATGTCATCCTGTCTCCTCCCACAGTGTAAACTAAACTGTCAAAGTTTAGCTGTCTCTGTAACAGAGAGAACTGTTCACTTCATTGCAGCTGCATTACCTTGTTTGACACTCTTCAGCATCTTTAACAGTGGATTTTTTTTGTTTGGAAGTATGATATCAAGATTGGTCTTTCTCCTTTTCTGTGGACATTTTGCACAAATCCTTGGAAATGCTGGGAAATTGCCAAGAGGCAAGTAGATATGGTTCTCATACTTTGTAGGGAAGAAATGCTTAGCCTTAAATAACACAATCTTGTTTTCAGAAAATATGAAAGGATTAAGAATGCAATGGAGAAATGAAATAGTAAAAATTGCAAAAACACATATGAGAGAGACCGAGACAGATGGAGTAATTTAAAACTCTTTGCATAAACAAGGGAAAGGATAAAACATACTTTTTGATTTCATGTCCTAAACAAGGAATACTGCAACCAGATGAAAAACTAGTTTGTTTATTTTTTAAACATTTATTTCTTATGGTAGTGTGTAATGTGATCTCTGATATATGTGTGTAAACAGGTTTCAGTTCTTTCAACTTCACTGTAAACACTTTAAAACTGATTTGATTTAATGTTTATCATCAATACTATTTTTCCTCAATTACTTGTCTTTAGTTTCCATTAAAATGTATCCTTGTGTGCCTATAAAATGCAACGTTAAGGAGTACTGCACTGGACCCAATTTTCTATAATGTGAAAGAAATTATGAAAAAAATTAAATTTATTTTTCTTCAATATATGTTATTGTGACATTTTAAACTTCTTATTGAAAAAAATTTGTACTCTAATGTTAACAGCATATTTATAAATCTAGATTAAATTGTCTAATACGTTGGCACTTTTTAAATCTATGTACCTCACATTCTGTTACTGACTTTGCCAAAATGCTTTTTAATAGAGTGTATGCTTTGCAGATGTCCCAAGTGTGTCTAGAAATCTCTTAAGTACATTTTATTTTTTTATTCAGTGGATGAAGGAAAGTTAGAAAAGAAGTTCCTAGATTATGCGTGTATGACATATTTCATGTCAGAAAAATAGTAATCTTTTATCATAAAATAATGTGTTTTTCTTATTTATAATTTGAAAAGTTTATATTCTTCCATAAAATGTAGTCTTCATTAAATACATATTGTAATGCATTTATCAAATAGATATATAGTAATGTGCTTACCTTTTGAGCTAAATGGTATAGTACTTTTCATTAGAACATGTAGGAAATTCTATATAGCTTCCTTATCCACTTTTAATCATAACTATCTTTTCATGCAGAATTCTGACAAAATTCTGTGTCTATGTTTTATTTTCATTTTATTTTCATGCCTTCTCAAATTAAGTGGCAGCTGAAAATACTAATTATTATTTTTCATTTTTCAAATTATTCTTGATTTTGGAAAGAAATAAACATTTACATGTTCCAGTTTTCCAATGTGTACAACTCTAGTGTAAGGCTTTTTCTAATATACGGCGTCTATTGCCAATCTGAAGATATCCCAAAGATTTATCCATTTTATTATAACATTTTAAGGAATTGTAAACGTTTTTAGCTATTTTAAATATTTAATAACACTTGCTTCTTTTAAGTCTTGCATTATTAATTTTTTTTTAAAAAAATAAAGAACACCCTAAAGTTACTTTCTCCAATATAGCATTTGTGTTCACAGTCTTCACAAAATAGTACAAGGATTCCAATGAACAGCAGTGCTTTGAATTCAGTTCATAATGCTAAGAGCTGCCAAAGTTATTTTTGGGCAGACTTAACCATTTCGGTGAAATTTATTCCTGACATTAGGTTATGAATGTCGATTTCCTTTCCCTGGTACAGAAAATGGGAAGGGAAGGGACGGAAAGGGAAGGATTCCTTGTTCCAAGAACAGAAAAAAAAATCCTGCTTTTGTACCAAAAGAAATGTAGTAATAGAAAACCAATATCACATATTTCATATCACATTTCACTCAAAAGAAAATTCAGCTTGAAAACATTGGTAGAGAAATACTATTTTCTGTAGGACTTACTTACAATTGGTTTGATACTTAAAGAACCAGTAGAAAGAGACCGAATAGTTACATCAGATCACCACCTGAAGAACAAATGTGACTAGAAAAGCAAGCCTGCCCATCTTGGTCATAAAGTGGTCGATGACATGTCTGACCCAACTTTCTTGTGGCAGTAATTAAGTGAATATGGTGGTCATTAAATGAATGTGGCAGTCATTAAACAAATCAATAGTTCGCTATGGTGCAATTTTGCCAAAAAACAGAAAAAATGTCAGTTTTCAGCAAAATCATCATAAAAATGTAGTTATGTGACTTCAAGATGCTGTACATGGCTATAAATACAGCCTGGATGCTCAGCATCTGAAATGCAGTCATGTGACCATGGATGGGTGACGTCAGAACTTCGAATCCAGGCTATAAGTACCCTGCAGGTACTGAAGGTCTATTGGAATTTTGTGGCAGTAAACGACTGGTTATAAGTTGAGAACTACTTGCAATGCCACAGGTAAGATATTTGATACATCTATACTGGATGTATGTAAATACAGTTTCTTATACCCTTACTTTAAAGATAAGTGCATTAATCTGAAACACCTTGCCATTTCTGCTTTTGAAACATTATGGTTTCTTAAGTGGCAAGATCCTGTCCAGATCCTGGTCTCTAATTTAATAGGCATATATCAAATACTAATTTGAATATACCAAAAATAAACACAGAGCTAAATGTAACACGATTTGCCCAAATGAGTGGATCAAACTAAATCTACTCCATTTAACTATATGTACTTTAGAATTTTAGATTAAATTCAAAAGTGGCTTGCCTTACTTTTGATGTTATATATTTTTTTAATTGTTTAAAAACATGACACATTTACAAAGGTCAACAGGTCTTTTTAAGGCCATAGGCTTCTTTCCAAATATTCTTTGGAATACCTGTGTAACCACACAATGTTGACTGTCATGTGGACATTCCAGAAGAGTTAGGAAACAGGTCTCTGTACTCTGAGCCTGGTGCTTCTGTAACTACCTACCTAGCCTCAGTCCTTCACATATTTTAGAAAATGATTGCTGTACATGTAAACTTATTTCAGATAAACATTGGCAGAAAAGTAATTCCAGAAACATCCTGCAATAGCTGCAAATATTTTAAAATTAAGCTCCTTGCTATGTGAAATGGAGTGTATACATAGACGTGCCCACATAGCTGCAGACAAGGGATAACAAAGCTGTCAGTAATATTTATTTTAATTTCCATTTCACATGAAATATTAATGACTGGGCACAAGTAATTGTGGCTAGATGATGTACATATCTGCAAGACATTTAAAATGGGAACAGAGCTGCATTGTCTAATGTTTGTGGTATGCATTTACTATTCCATTTTTTAATTGTTGGCATTTTTAAGTGTTTCTCAAGTTTAGCAAAACCGCAATTCAGTTCTCATCTATTCAGAAGTTTTATTGATTCTAATGTTCCTAGGGAATATGTTGCTAAGAATACCAAAAGACATCTTAGTATATCAAATACAATGCAATATTTTTTTTTAATAATGAGCATTTTTTATCATTTGGAAAGAAAAACAACATCGTTTTCCAGCAACAATCATCACTCGCCAGAACAGGGTTCTTTCGCCCTTTTCTTTTCCTCTTGCTGCATCTGACTTACCTCTGTGCTTTCCCCACAGAAACCTCCAAAGTGACAGATTTTACCCTCCTGTTGATGTAGTTTTGTGGGTATAGCCTATATCACAAAAGCTTGATGGAGTGAAGCCAACAAGTGTTCATGAATTTCTATGTACATGCAGAGTGAACAATCTATAAGGACACCTGCAGTCTGTCAATTATGTTGCTTGTACAATGTGCTTATGGATAATTATGAAAAATCATTCCCAAGTGTTCATAGATGCTTATTTTGTAAAAAGATTAAAGATTGCAGTATCCAATAGTTCTAAAATACACAATATTAATAATAAGCCTACTTGGTGTATGTGTTCCTGTCCATTAGTAATTTGTGTGATTGTCAGTAACAGTTTATACTTCATTAACCATTCATTCAACAACAAAAAAAGGATTCACGATAATTTGAAGAAATCTGGAGACATCTTATTTAGTTTCTTCACTGGATTATGTGAACAATATTATATAAATATTGTCTAGAGGCTATTTCAAATATATATTTTATTAACAACCTTCTTTGAGTGAAGCCTAGCTTCTGGGTATAGATTAATGGAACTTGGTCTGCTATTGCTTTATTCCAGGATGTTGTTCCTCCATCATACTCCCTTTACTCCCTCCAGTCTAAATTATTGCCCAGAGATTTCCTACAGGTTTTGTCTGCTTAGCTTTGAGTTCAACCAAGTTTCCAGGTACTGCTGTTAAAGCAGGAACTTAAAAAGTTAATCTACATTGGGGTTTGAATTCCATACTTTTATTGGAATTGTTCTTGTAAGTGCTGACATTTTTTGTATACTTGCTTGCTTTTTAATAGAAACTAATGTATGTCATGGATGCTTTAGATTATGTTATGAATGCTTTAGTATGGAATCAGTCATGCAAAGACAGAAGTGGAGTAAATGGCCTAAATGATCTCTTCTTTTAGATATGGCAATCTGAATTCCCCTTTAGCAATGGTGCAACATTTACCATGTGGGACATGTGGAGTACTAATGTTGATTGCAAGGATTTATGTTTATTTTTAACTACCACATAGATAATTTAATCATGATAAAATCAGTGAGCCAGAAATTCAGATAATCCAAAGAAAGAAGCATTAATAAGGACATGGTGTAACTTTCTCCCAAAGTCTTTGGGAGAATTTTTTCAAACTAAGAAGTTATATTCATAAATACAAGTTTTTAGAATGTTTATAACAATACACTAATTGAAAGGAATGTCACGATAATTTCACTGAGATAAAAATATAGTTCTTGGCCAATTGGAAACATTAAGAAATATAAAAAATTATGTTTGAAAATTATGAGAGTGAAGCTATAAGGTCAGTAATAACCGCAAAGGAGAATTAAACCAAATGCTGATTGTCTTGGTGGGGTCATTGTCTTGGTGGGGTCATAGGATTGAACAAGAGAGGCCTCTATTTCCTGACACTTTTCTTCAAAACATTTTTTTCTTAATGTATCTGCACATGTTTATTTAGTATTTCCTTCTGCGAAATATGTACAAACATGCAATTCTACACTCT